CTCCACGGGGTCAGTGCCAAGCCCTTCATTAGGGATTGACGTGCCTTTGAGCTCAGCTGAGATAAGCCTGGGGCTTTTTCATAGTCGTTAGCAGACAAGGTCTGCTACTAGGTGTTGGTGAAGGGGGTTACACGCTTACATTGCTGACTGGGTGCTCTGTGGTCCTGTTTTAGAGATTTGCCATTTACAGATTTTGTTGCTGCTTTTTTTTCTTAAAGATTACTGTTATATCCTAATTGTTATTGATCTATTTGTTAAGGGTAATGCTTTTTTCACAGAGGGGTGGCAGTGCTCCTATTGCACAGCAGTCTCTCATTTTACCAGCTTAAGGGCTGTTCTATATAATGAGCCAGCACCAGGCCTCTGCTGGTTAACATGGTTTTGACTGGATTTACATAAGTAGATCCATGAAGCTAAAATATCTGTTTTCTGTAAGGTATGTAGCGGAGTCTACCAGCTTGTAAAATCCTGAAATGGATGGCGCTGCTGTGCAATGAGACTTCTGTCTCCTTCCCTGTTAAATGGTGTGATTTTGTTTTGGGGGGGGGTGGGGGAGTGTTTTTTGACCAAAAGGATTATCAATCTCATTCACCTGGCTGCCTTTATTTTCACAGGGACAGGGAAGGGGTGTGTGTGTGTTTTGGAGGGGGGGGGGTCTGTCTCCGATCAGGTGACCCTGTCTTCTCCAATGGGATCGCTGTGTGTTTGCTGCGAGTGTGTGGTGTTATGACTGTTCTTGGATCATTTGTTTTGGGAGTGCGACTGACCTGGGGGAGGGCAGTAGTGTGTGGCTATCTTGAAAGCTGATCTTGAAAGCTAAGCATGTCTGGTCCTGGGCAGTACTGGAATGGAGACTGCTGTTGCAAGTGGTTTTGGTGGACCAGTAGGTGGTGCTCAGAATTTCTGAATTTCCAAAAACTGGTGCCCCAAGTCAGAGGTCCTGACTTCTTGATCTTTAGAGGTCTGGGGGCACTGCTTGTTAGAGTAGGAACACCAAATTCCATGTGACTCACATTGAACTTCATAAAACAAAATACAACTTCATCTCAAACATCGCTTTATAGGCACCCCTCGTATGGAAATGAGGTCACCCTGTCTTAGCATGAAGCAGCTGTGTAGTTATTCTGATGCGAGATTGGGAAGGCTAAGATACTGAAGAACGCTGATTTACCAGCCCTGTGGCCAGAGAAGACAGGAGTTTTGAATGCGTACTGTACTGGTGCTTTTTAGGTATTCCCGGCTGGCTATTTTAAATTCAGATAGCAGTTCTAACCTGCACTGTGCCCTTCAGACAATGCAATAACTTCCATTTGGGGGAAAAAACAGCAGCTCATCCCCTTCCCCCATCACCCCCAAAAAACCTGATGGGTCGTGAGGTGTTGTCTTGTTGTCCTTCATCAACGGGATCCAGCTCTTCCAGTGTCTCCCTTATTTTTATTGTGCACCTCTGCCAGTGCTTCACCCTGGGTGCTGTTTGGGTCTGGGCTTCAGCTTCCATGTTTTTTTTTTTCCCCCGGACTCAACTAGTTTTACCTCATGACTTAAAAATGTGGCACCGTCAGGTGTTTTCGTCTGGGTTGTGCCCCGCTGTCCACCGTGTGAGTGCGAGTGAGCCTACATCACCGTGTTGGTGTGGTTACATGCACGTCATTCCCCAGACAGGACCACTGTGCATTGAATTCCCGAGAGGAAGATGACAGGGATTCACAGCCATGGAAAAGCTGTGGGAGTGGGTGCCAAAGGTTTGACTGAGGCTACACAGCAGGCTGCCATGTGTCAGGTGTGGAGAAATGGTGATGGCACTGGGCCGTTACTTGAAAGGCTGTATGGAACTGACAGTAGCTGAGTTTTTAGTAAGGAAGTCTACCCTGATTGCTTCAGTATAAAAGTGCCAACATTGCTCGAAAGTGTATGTGTGTTTCCTGTTCCTTATGAGACAAGGGGAATAGAAACTCTGGCCCTCAGTCCCACCTGACCCCAGCCTAGTGTTTAAGAGCCTTTAAAATGAATACTGTTTAAATTGAAGTGCCAAAAGT